TCTTGTCTAATTAGTTGGCTTAGTTTTGCTCTTTTTTTCTAGAATATTCAATTTAGGCTACTAGTCTTGTCTATTTTCCTTGCCCCCTATCCTAAACTCTACAGTTTTCACTGTTGGATTTATTGAGAGGCTATTAGGCTTATTAAGATTTCACATACCATTTACCGATCATGTGCTACTAGGTTTATTTCTGCCCTGCGTAACTTCAAGACTGTTGGTTCAACGTATAAAACAAGAAACAGGTTATTGTGTCCTACAATTTTGCTGTTATTGGTAATTTTAAACTTCTCGACTTCATACTTATATTCTACTTACTAGGTGGAGGCCAATCCATATACATGGTTTACCATTGAGGCTCTTCAGGATACTTGGAGGAATTTGCAAAAGATTATCCAGGAGCGTGATGTTGAACTGAAACGTGAAATGATACGTCAAGAACAAAATGATCAGTTCAGACAAGAATTTGCTAGTATCGCTAACTCATTTCATCACTGGCTCCAGGTATTTGCAATTAAGTTTTTATTCGAATTTTACTGTCATACTTGATTTTCCTAAACAATTTTTCTTTAATATCTCTACTTATTTTCATTGCATAGACTGTCAGAACTTCCCTTATGGAGACTACGGGCACGTTGGAAGAGCAACTAACTGCCACTCAAGCAAAGTCGGCTGAGGTACGGGCGCGTAAAGCTGATTTACGCCAGATTGAAGAACTCGGGGCTAAGTTAGAGGAGAGGCTTATTCTTGACAATCGCTATACAGAGCATAGCACGGTAATTTTTTTCAATTCGATGAGATTTATTTTATTAGATTGTTCAAGATCTAGCTTATTTCACATTTAATATTTGTCTAAGTAATATGCTTGGCCTTAATTTTATTCTTGCTGGTGCGCATCCCTTAATCTTATTTTTTCAACTCTTGGTGAATTCTGGACTTAGTTTTTATGTATTTAGTTTTTCATGATCCCATCTCTCAAAAGCTTACGCCAATGGCTCTGTCGTTTAGATTTTTGTGATTTCTTTCCTTTTTTGATTACAAAGAAATTTTGTCATGTATATTCCCTAACCTGGTGTTTATTATCTGGGTAATCGTTTCATCATAAGCTATGAATGAGTTTCTATATAGCCATGCTATACCACTTGCTTTTCGCTTGTCTTTTGCGTGAATTTGCCTTTGATTTTTATCCTTTAGTGGCCTATTTCCACCACCGGCTAATTTCGTTAAATTTTTTTGGTAGCTGCCCCTCAACATCCACTTCACACAAAGTCCACTTTTGATACATCTCATCTAAGCTTTGATGTCGCGTCAACCAATCTAGTCTCGCCACTGTACTGGCTGCCTTCGAACTTATCAAACTTCAGCACTAATTAGAAGTCTATATCCACACTACGCAAAGTTTAAGTAGGAAGAAATCATGACTTCTCTCGTGCCCATTTTTCCTTTAAGCGACCGGGTTTCTCCCATGCCCCATGCTCTCTTCTCTATCAGCGGTCCGCTCTGTGGAATCGCATGTGGGAAGTCTGCTCTTCTATACAGCCTAAAGTTTCTCACCGTAACGGTCTTATAGTCAACTGAGCCGATGATTCTTCTAAATTCCAACATTCCGAACATTGCTTCTGGGATAATACATTGTGTAAGGAAGACTACGTTCAATTAGCGCCTACGTCCCAGGCAAAGCTTTTCAGCAATCGTTTCATTTTGTCTGCATCTACGGGAATACTCTTGCTTTGCTGAGTCAAGCTGCTTTTCATGGGATCGACTTGAATGCTATATCACCTATCCGTATTGGGCCTCCGGAGTGTTCAATTCATTGGTTTCGACATTAATTTCACCATTCTAATCTGCTATCTTGG